TCCATCATACACCACATACACATGGAAGTTAGAAAACTTTTCGCAAATTAAGACTGATTTTTGTTATTCTGAATCTTTCACTGCTGGAGGCAGAAGATGGTATATATAACCAAGATAATGATTTCATTATTTGCTTGCTTCTATTTTTCCTTCATTAACTAATTCAATTAGTTTTGTCTGTGCTTTAATTTCAAGGAAGCTAAAGGCTTATCCGAAAGGTCATAAGAGTGGCAGAAATGGATTTGTGTGCATTGCTCTTGTTTTGGATGAAAGTGGAAGTTTATGTAAGAAGTTGTTCGCTGAGTTCACATTGCGCGTTAAGAATCAACTATGTACATTGAGAAATAGGGCAGCCAAAGGTAAGTGTCATTATTTTTCACCTAAGTTTATATATGATGTGTATATATATTGGTATAAGACAAGCTTTTCAGACTTTAATCTGAGAATGGTTGGTTTTTGTTTCTGTTTTTCCTATTTTACAGGTGAAAAGTGGCTTCGATCGGGGACCAATTTCTGGTGTTCAAGTAAGTTCATGGCGGTGGATGAACTTAAGGATGCAACGCAAGGTTACTGTGTCAATGACACTGTCATTATTGAATGCCAATTTTCACTTATAATAGAAGTTGTACTTTTCCAAGATTGAAAACTGAGTTTGTATCATCGATCATTGAACTCCTAGTTTTGTGTTTGTGTTGGTGCATCTCTTGAAATGAATATATTAGGGCATTAAAAGCTCTTTTTTGTCTGGTTTTCTAAGCTAATATAAAATATTGTAATCAGAATTTGCTATCAGTATTATTATTCAAACCGCATATGCAAGCTAAATATATATATATGTGTGTGTATGTATAATCAAGCTCATTGTTAACATTGTTAAAAAGATGGCAAAAAAAACAAAAAACAAAAACCAAAAGAAAACATTGTTAAGAACAGCGCACCAGACAGCTGGCAACATGTACACAGATAACAGAAGAGAGATCATACAAACAAAAATAATCATGTCAGTATCTGTATAACCAAGATTTTTCATCAACATCTTTTTTTGCTTTTTAATTGGAATAATAACGACGATAAACCTTTCTGTTTAAAAAAGCATGATGATAAGCCTTTCACATTTGCTTGCTCAATGATGAATTGCGTAATCTGTAAGGAATCATTATATATCATTGAATTAGTATCAAGGAGTAAGACAATGCGTCTGTGCATCAATTTGTCTTAACATACCCGATATGTTATAAGAAATAGAAAAAACAAAAATTATTGCAGATTAAAGAATTTTCAATCGTCATGTCCTTACCACACGGGTTTACTCTTTTTCCTATTCAAAAATTAGCCTCTCGTCTTTGTGTTTTTTCATCAAGAACTATCTTATGATGATATAAAAGATCTGGAATTTTTTTTCCCTGTTCAATGTTGCAGCATGTAGAGGAATTCGAAGCACAAAAGAAATAGGAAATTGTTTTTTTAGATATAATTATTGTCGGATCAAATCGATGTAGGTTTAACACTTTTCAGCATTCTGTTTCAGAACAATTGTCTAGTGTGGGCACTTATTATACGATATGGCAATGGTATCAACAATCTAAGGTTAATATCATCAACCTGAAAATATAATTAATAATGCGAAAAGTCATCAAGAATTTTTTTTTTTTTTTTGCCAACCTTCATGAGAAAAGTTACTAAATGACAACATGTTTTATGTAGGAATCAAACTTACCACATACATACACGCGAGCGTGCGTGTCCGGTGTAAAGTGTAGTTAATTATTTGTACTTGTTGGCAAAAGAAAGTTAATTACTGGTTTTTTTTTTTAATTCATATTCCTCTTGTCCTTTTATAGGACAAAAAACTGTTTTTTTTTATGAATGTACACTTTTACTTTTTATTTAATATTACGTTGACTTTGTTTTAATAAGATATATTTTTTTAATCTTATTTATAAGGTACTTCTAATATATTTCATACAAATAAAAAAAAGTTTTAAATTGCATTAACTCTCTATTAAAATAGAGTAACTTTCTAATTTCACCCTTATTTAATACATACATTTTTTCAAAAATAATAACTATCTACATTATAATAAATGAAGGAAGATATAATACATTCATGGTAAAAATTTAATAAAGTACTCCCTCCGTTCCTTATTATAAGCAAGGTTTTAAGAGCTGGACCGGACTGGACGGTCCGACTGTCGCCTGGTCCACACAACGGCTCGGACAGAGGGTTTGGGCCGCCTGAGTGGTTAATCCGTTTTGGACCGCCTTTTATCCGCTGTTGGGCCGGAGCAGTTTTGGGCCGGAAGCCGTTCCAGATTTGTAAAAAACGGACGGGCTGAAGTATCATCAGAATAAAATAAAAAAAAAAGGCCCAAAAACTGCCAAAAGTCCATATATTTTATATTTATTACATTACAAAAAATAATTTTAAAAAAAAGATTTCAAGGGACCCCTGTTTCTGACTTTTGCTTGGCACTTTCGGCCTTTCCGTCGAACGTGAGAGTGGCGGGACCGACTTTGTGAGTTTGAGTGCCCTAGGTCCCCACCACCACTTCTCCATCTTCTTCCTCCGTCGTCCTCCACCGTGCTTCATCGTCCTCCACCGTGCTCTGTCGTGCTCTGTTCATACGCGCTGTCGTCCGCCAGCATTCACGATCAGGTTATTTCTGATTCAGCGTCCGCACGTTCTCGCTTTGAAGGAGCTGGAAAAACCCAAGTTAGAGAAGTGGAGGCTTGAAGGAAGAGGTGATCATAAATTTGAAGTTATCACAGTTCAAATCTTTTGGATTCTAAACAGGTAAATCATTCTCTGCTCATTGGATTCTAAACAGCTTTGTATCGGTAATCGGCTGTTTCAATGAACCTATGCTCTGTATTTTGCCAAAACCAAAGCTGACTACCAGTAGTGCTGATGGAGAAGATAGCGTTTGATGCTATATATATATATATTGAATAAGCTGTAAGCCTGTAACTATTTGATTTTGACCGATGTATAAGCTTATATATATATGTGTTGAGTGAGCTCTGAGCTGTGTGACTGAGGAATCCATGTTAGGATCCATTTTTCTTCGCAGCGAGCTGACCAACTTGTGTTTACTTCAACTACATCGTGATCTGATCTGTCTCCTAAATATGTGTTTAATCTAGGTTGAATGTACTGAAGAATATGATAAAACAATTCAGAAGCCTGTAACTGTCATATACGTATATATGTTTCCATTTGCATGTAACCAGGAGGATTTGTTGAGTTTGGAATGAAGTTAGAAAGAAATATAAAAATAAACGTGGGGACCTAGCTATGTGCACAGAGTCAAAGAGACAGGGACTTAATATTTTAGTTATCTTTTTGGCTTGGTATTCGAATATGGGGCATTTGAATATTTATATTTACTCGAATTCCAAATAACAAATATTATTCAAAAATAAGAAAATACTCACACAAACATATTAGCACATATAACAAGTGGAAAGTGGTTACCTCTCGCCAAAGCAATACTAAGGATTACCACAAGGTCAATCCTTTGCTCAACCAATAATTAATCTACAAATTAATATAACCACATATTAATATAAACTAATAATTAATACTAAATTACCAAAAATCCTTTCTCTAATTAATCTTTAATATTTAAACTGATAATTAATTAAATTTTTACTGATTTAATTAAAATCCCTCTTTAAAAACTCTCATAACTCAAAAATTATTAAGTATTTTAAAAACAACTTAAAATTTCTAACAACCCCAAATTATTTATTTACCACCTCCAAATTATTTACCTTAATAAAAGGATTTTCAACAATTTCTAAATATAAAATTATTATATTATAAACTCTAAAAATCCTCATTTAAGTTTAAACCTCAAAAATCAAACTATCAAAATTCAATAATATTTCAAATATTTATAAATAAATAATCTAATCAAAACTTTAATGGTATAACTACCATATATATAATATTTCCATAAATAATAAACTTTTAGCTACAATAATTATTTTAAAAACCTCCAGTCACCCAATAAATAAAAAATAAACCGATTAAAATCTTAATAATATGTTAAACACCTCAATTAAATTATTCAACTTAATTTTAATCGGTAAAATATGATATAAATCATATATCACATATTTTTCAACTAGAAAAATCCATTTAAGCACTAAAACCAACAAATGGACCAATCCAAACCGATTAAAATCTCAATAATATATCAAACAATCCAAATAAATTATTTAACTTAAATTTAATCGGTAAAAAATATAATATAAATCATATATAACAGATTTTTCAACTAGAAAAAATTTATTTAAATACTAAAACTAACAAATAGAGAAATCTAAACCGATTAAAGTTAACAACTCATTAACTTCTAAATTTCGATAGTCATCTTTTGTAAAAACTCAATACTTAGATCATATATAAGTCTCAAAATTTTCCCTAATCACTAGGGTAATACTACTATTATGAAGCATAAAATATATATGAAATATTTATGAAGAAAGTTTGATGAAAAGAGATAGTTTCATGTACCTAAAATATCTGCAAAGCTTGCCCTTTCCTTTACCGGTATGCTCCTTTCGCTCTTGCGCACACACACAAAACTCTCTTTCCTCTTCTCTCCAGCACGCACTCATTTCAGCCTTCCTCTCCCTCTTTTATCCTTCATTCCCCAACTACCTTCATTTTTTTTCTTCCCTCATTAATTCCTCTCCCCCAAAGTCTTCCTAATGCCAAATTTTTTTTCCACACGTCTCCCATCTTTCCATGCCTCATTTCCATGCATGCCTCAACTTTCCACAAACTAATCTTCCATGGTCCAAATTTTCAACGAAGGTGTGGAAAGTTGCTTCCTTCTTCTTCTTTTTTTTTTTTTTAATTAAAAAATTATTATTTTATCTCTCTTTTTTTTTTTTTTTCTTTTTTAAAAAATAATAAAATATTAGGATATTACATTTACTAGTTATAATTAATTGATACTATTGTGTATTTGTATTGTAGAAATTAGAAGATGTCATCCCAACCACAAGAAGTATCTGGTAATGCTCCATCTACACAATCTGTGAGATCAAAGGCTGATCCTGCATGGGAACATTGTGTTCAAGTAGCTAGCAAAAACCCAAGTGGCAAACCTCGCTTGAGATGTTGTATTGTGCAAAGGAATTTGGAGGTGGAGGGATACATAGAATGAAACAGCATCTTACGGGAATAAAAGGAGATATAATAAGTTGTAAAAAAGTTTCGGGTGATGTTCACTTTCAGTTGGGAGAAAATTTGAAAGAAATTGAAGAGAAGAAAGGTAAGAAACAAGATATATATGAGAAGGACAATCCCTATGGTCCTAGTGTCACACCATTTGAAGGGGATGCTCTAAATTTGCAAGAGGTTCCTCCGACACAGAGTCAAACTCCTACTCTAACTTCTTCTCAGCAAAATATTCAAACTTCTGCCTTAAGACCATCTCAAGCTATGAAAAGAAAGCCATCTGCACCAATAGACAAATTCTTTGCCCCAAGGACAAGTCCAGGTGCACAACCGGGAATTAGAAGTGCGTTTGCAGGTAAGGAAGCCGTGCATAGAGCAGACTTAGCTATGGCTAGGTGGCTCTATGATTGTTGTATTCCAATTAATGCTGTTAATTCTCCTTACTTCCAGCCTATGATAGATGCTATTGCAGCTATTGGACCTGGTTATAAAGGGCCATCTTATCATGCTTTTAGAACCAAATTACTACAAGATATGAAAAAGGAGGTTCAATTGTTAGTTGATGAGTGTAGAGGCTTTTGGGCAGAAATTGGTTGCACAATAATGGTTGATGGTTGGCAAGATCAAAGAAATAGACAATTGATTACTTTTCTTGTTTACTGTCCTAGAGGGATTGTGTTCATTAAGTCTGTTGATGCCTCAGATATTGTGAAGGATGCCTAAACTCTTTGTAACTTATTCTTGGAAATGGTTACATTTGTTGGTGTGGATAATGTGGTTCATTTGGTAACTGATAATGCAGCTAATTATAAAGCTGCTGGGAGGTTATTAATTGACAAGCATCCTTCTATATGTTGGTCTCCATGTGCTGCCCATTGCTTAAATTTAATTTTAGCAGACATTGGCAAAATGGCTCTTGTTACTAGTTTGGCATCAAGAGCTTCAAAGGTTTCAAAATTCATTTACAATCATGCATTTTTGCTTGCCTGGCTAAGAAAAAGAGAAGGTTGGAAAGAAATCATCCGTCCAGGACCTACACGGTTTGCTACCACATTTATTGCATTAAAAAGTCTTCTTGATCACAAGCATGATTTACAAGCCCTGGTAACTAGCAAGGCATTTTTAGATTCCAGATACTATAGAGATCAGAGAGCCAAAGATGTAACATTGATTATATTAGATAACAAGTTCTGGAATGATTGTAAGATTATTGTTGAAGCTGTGAAACCAATTGTTCGGTTGTTGAGAATAGTTGATTCTGATGATAGGCCTTCGCTTGGATATATCTATGAGGGTATGTATAGAGCAAGGAAAGCTATCAAGAGTACTTTCATGAACAAAACAACTTTATACAAGCCTTATACAAGAATTATTAAGAGAAGGTGGGATACACAGCTTCGTCAAGATCTTCACACAGCAGCTTATGTCTTAAATCCTGCTTTTCTTTATGACCAGGCTAACTTTTCTCAAAAGCCAGAGGTTATGAATGGATATCTTACAGTTATAAATAGAAAAATAGCTTCCAATAAGACCAAGTTCTTGCAAGAAGGCACACAGTACCAAAATAGAAGTGGTAGCTTTAGTCATCCTTTGGCCCTTGAATTTGCAAAATCAATGCGACCTGGTAAAGTTTTATATTTTAATGTTTGATGATACTTTGATGAGTCATAATTCTTGATTCTTAGGTATTAAGCCTGTGACTTAATCATTTGATGATGTTTTATTTTTGATATGACAGATGAACGGTGGCGATATTTTGGAGGTAGCTGTCCAAATGTGAAAAAGTTGGCCATTCAATTGTTAAGCCAAACTGCATCTTCATCAGGCTGTGAAAGGAATTGGAGTGTCTTTGAAAGAATACACTCTAAGAAAAGGAACAGGTTGAAGCATAAAAGGCTGAATGATCTTGTCTTTGTTCATTACAATTTTCATTTGAGGAATAGGTATATTTTTCCAACTTTTAGACTCTACTTGAATTTATATTTTCCAAACAATTAATTAAATTAATGCTAATACTATGTTATTGTCATTTGTTTTTTAGAGTTGTTAACAAGAACAAAACTTTTGATCCTATTAATTATGAAAGTATTGATAAGATTGAATACTGGATAACTGAAGAAGTTGATTCTCCTCCACTTTCAACATTTCGTGCTGATGAGATCGAAGAAGACATCATTTATGATGATACAACACTACCAATGCCAAAAGTTTTCATCAATGAAGAAGGTTAGATGTTTTCTAATCTTTCTATTTTTTTAATTTATATTTTACATTTGACTAATTTCAATAATATGATTGTTGCAAACTATTTTATAAAGATAATTATGAAGAGAGAGGCAATGAGGCTCAAGTTGAGGATGGATGCTTTGACATTGGAGTTGGAGCAGGTGTTGATTTGGGATCATTTTCTCAACAAGACATTGATAGTCACAGTGTGCAGAGGCTACAAACCCAGATGCTTTTTTGGAGACTCATGCTTGGCTTAATCAAGATCCTCCAATATTTGACAAGTCATCAAGTCATTTGTCTTAGTGCATTATATTGAGTACTTAGGAGTCATGTAGTGTTAGATTGCTAAGGACTTAAGAAATTTTATTTTGTTAAAACATATATAGTAAACATAATTTTACTATAAATTATGCTAATTATATTTATCATATTATATATACTATATAACTATTTTTAATTTAATTATTATCTTACCGGTCCGACCGAACGGTCCAACCATTTCAACCGTTTGAACCATGACCCGCTGCTCTTTCCAGCTCGACTTCCGGTCCGGCTTTTAAAACATTGATTATAAGAGACGAATAACCGAATTACGTTAATAAAAAAAATAGTTAAAAGTAGTTAAGAACAATCAATGTGTAAAAAGTATAATTTTTTTTCCAAAAATGCCCTCATTAATAAGGAGAGAGAGTATGAGAGAGAACAATTAAATTATTAAAAGAAAGAGAAGTGGGAGGGATAGAGAGTGTGAGTTGGAGACAATAAATATGGGTAAAATAGGAAATTAACACAAAAAAGTAGAGACAACTTGTAAGTGTCTCTTATATATAGGAACATGCTATAAGCATCAAATGTCTCTTATAATAAGGAACGGAGGGAGTAATTTATAAATAGAACAAAAAAAACCTTCTATTTCTGCCTTATCAATAGGACTAGAGGAGTAATATATATTAAATAGGGATAAAGTTAAAAAGCTGTCAATTTTTTTTCTAAAGCATATGTATCTTCCTATTCGAGACATTGTCACACATGAAATGTCAGCACCTCTCCTAATAGGGATTTGAACATTAGTTTGTCATGTTATGAAGGATTAACCTTTTTCGTTAGATCGGACCCCTTGGTGAAAATTGTCAGATTTTAAATTAAAATTAATAAAATTTAAATTTTTTTACTTACATAAAATAAGTTAAAAATGACGTATAAATAAAAATATAGCAGTAACCTTTTATTCTTGTTACAGCGAACTCACTGCACTAATTGATCTTGAGATGGGTGTTGAGGCCGCCAAAAATAAATTCGTACTCTCAAAATAATAGTTTTGCAGGTATGGTGAATCAATAGGGTCAAAATCAAATAAATAAATTTAGAGAGTAGTATTTTCGAGAAAAGAAACGTCTACTCCCGATAAAGGCTTTTAAGATCTGACTCAATCAATATGACCCTTCAGTGCCAAAAATAATTTGATTGGCTTGATTTATGATGCAGCCTCGTTTTTATAAGTTGGTTAAATAATCTGTAGGCGAAATTAAAGCAGAACGAAGTAGCCATTTCTAACTTTCCTTTCTTTTCTTATTCTTCCTTTTTAGATGTTGGTTACGAAGTTATTGATGTGGGTTTGAAATTCTGAGACTGGGTTTCGAATTTTGAGGAGGGTGTGCTTTGTTTCAATGTTTTCGGGAAAAAGGTGAAGAAGAAAATGGTCCAAGGTCTAGGCCAAAAAAGAGTCAAGGGTCAAGCATGAGAATGGCGTTTCAAGGAATCTGCAAGTTTTCATTTATTAAAACATGATTTGTATAATTAAAAATTACAGCAATTAAAATATTGGTACATTTTAACTTCTCCATCACATCAACATTCTTTAATATTTACACATGTTTAGAGATAAAATATACCATACGGGCATCCTTAGTTCCTAATACACTAAATAGAGTAGTACGGAGAATCTGCCCTCTTTTTGAAAATGGGAATTTTAATCGGGCATCCTTGCCATTGTTGAAACTTTGTGTCTCTTTGTTAGGGCTGAAAAGGGAGCCGAGCAGTCCCCTTTAGATTATTTTATAATTTTTTTCTAATACTATTAAAATTTTTACAATATTAATGATATTTTGAATATTTAGTTTTATCATCACAATAATTTATCCAATTAAATTTTTAAAAAACAAGTTAATTTGGACTCTAATAATGATTTAATTTATATTATGTGTTGCTATTTTTAAACTATATATATTTGATAAGAAAGTATTTTTATAATTATATAGCTTGTGAATGTATAATTTGAATTAGAAATTTATGAGTTTCAATAGCAATACTTCTCACATTAAGTAAAACAATAGTTAGATTACAAAATTTAAAAGTGAAATTTATACAAAGAAGAAAAACTTGATATTTTAACTATTCATGAAGAAGAGCAATTGATTATAGTGATGATGAAGTTTTAAAAAAAATTAATGATAGTGTTTTTCTATTACACATTTGCACTATTTATGAAACTTTTGGATGTTATCTTATTGATGAATATTTTAGATATTTCTAGATGTTGACAAATATTTAGATATAATGATACTTTGTATTTGTGATTTTATTTTCTTCATATTTATGTCTTTTATTGATAACTTCATTGGTTTATTTTTATTTTTTTGATAAAAAAGATAAGAAATATAAAAAATAACATTTTTTTTCCTTAAAAGAGCCAAAAATCAAGCCTAAAAAATTAGAATATTTATGAAATTTTGACTCTATAAGATTGGTCCTTTTAAACCCATCGACCTTACAAGACTGTAGGGCCGGGCCAGCGAGTACTCTCACTTCTACTCTTAGTAACCATCGTTAATAAGTATTATTAATTCTCACCCTCACTATAATTTATCTTTTGATCTTCTGAAGTCACGAACATACATTTGTTCACCCCAGAAAAAAAAATCACATCTAGTGGCGATAGTCCTCTCTCTCTCTCTATATCTATATACATATATATATATGCTTATCTACAAATTATGGACGTCTTTAGACGCACGTCAAGAGGTGCGGCAGAACAAGAAGAAAAAGGAAGGAGATGAACGAAGGGATGAGCGGTAAGTACTTTCGAAGATGACAAAAGTTTGGATTTCTTAAAGTTTCATGTAAGGGAAACATATACAAGACATGGTCTGAATCTGTACAGGAATCATGCAATATCATAGAGGATATCGACCAGCTCACTACGTGCTTGAAATTGGGTCATATTCAGCACTCGCTGCCAGCAAGATCGATCGATATGAATCTGGTGCATTTCGAGCTGGTGGTTATAACTGGTAATTAATTAAAGTCATTATTATTATTATCGAATCTGCACCCTAATATATGCCTTCTTTAATAAGTATATTGTATACCTAATTTCTCACGAAATCTTTGTGCATTACATCAGGAGGATGATTTTGTACCTTAATGGTAGGAGTGAAGCCAACAAGGGTAAACATATCTCACTGTACTTAGCAATAGCAGAAACACAAGATAAG